TGCTGCTGCTGCTGCTACTACTACTACTACTACTACTACTACTACTACTGCTACTACTACTACTACTACTACTACTACTACTACTACCACTACTACTATTATTACTAATAGCTTGCATATTTTATATAGCGCTCGATTCATACTAATAAAGCTCTCAGCGCCTCACACCTATGACATGACTTACCTACTTAGAGTAAAAACCTCACATACACAAGAAAAAACATTTCGTCCAAAACAAGAAAACCAGTTGAGCCACCTAAGGAAAAAAACCTTCTCAGACATGCATTAGTTACATAAACAAAAGGAAAGCAGCGAAAACAAACCTCATTAGCACCCGCTAACACATTCCAACTGAGAAAATACAAACTTTGCGGCGATGTACGCGTACTATAGACACCCAAAGAAAGGTCAAAAGTGTTTCGTTTTTTATGAGAGTAATTCATCTATTACAAATTGTTATTCCGAACCATTATAAAAGTTAGTCTCGTTATAGGAGCGGGCGATGCCTTCTTCCCTTGCCCTCCATTTGGTTCCCGTATTGAATCGGAAGTATGTCAAAAATGCACAGTCTAAGATTTTATAATTTTACAATACAAGTCTATGTTGGTGCCAAGGAGGTTATATAATTATATTTGGTTGATACCCAAAATGACACGATATGAAAAAAAACCCAACCAAATGGCAACACTTGACTGACATCTGCTCTGCGTTGAATGTTGTTTCGCAAACATTTCATCCTAATGGATTAAATTCTGAGCCAGGCTTATCTTTCATCAACCCGAAAGCTAGGTTTCGTTGGTCAGCTGTCACAATGCTAAGCCCAACATTAATTTGGATAAAAAAAAAAAAATTAATTACATGTTTTAAAGAATAAAACAGTCTTTTTTAAATATCTCCTGTAAGATTTTGTTTTCTGAGCTAAGTACATTTTAACAGTTTTTTAAACTCTGAATATACCCGTTTTCCTCCTGTTTTGTTACGATTAAAATGACACAATTACCCACTGTTTTCTCTAGTCATGAGACTTAATCCACACACACAAAAACACTAACCATATTAACATTAATATGATATGGCTACTGCGTCAACCGTGAGTATATTTTACATCTTTTGACATTTTTATCTTGCATCCATGCTTTTGGCTTATGCTCAAACCAACAGAACTACGGCATCGCCCTCCCATCCCAAAAAACAGGATTTAACCACCCTTTTACACCCCCAAATCACCCCCATCCACCTCATCCCACCCCCCTAAAAAAAAAAAGAATCCGCAAGAAAAAAAAATGAAACAGGTCAAAGCAAAATGACATGGGAAACTGGGCCCCGAGTGCTCACTTTTGTGATCGTTATTTATGTGCCTGTTTTATTGGATTTGTTTTTGTATCCATTCATATTGTGCCAGATACAAGTTTCTGAGATGCGCAGTTATCTATCCTTTCCTTTCGGCAGTGAGGGGATGGGGAGTAGAGGGGGGGGGGGAGGGAGGGCTACCAGCATCATGGTAACTCCCCCCCCCCTCCTCAACCCTAGCGTCTCCAATACACACTTACAGTCACACAAACCTACACACACGCGCGTGCACGCACACACAAATACGCTCGCACAAACACGCACGCGCAAAAACACACGGACAAATACACACATACATGCCAACAAACACACACACACTTTCTCTCTCTCTCTCTCTCTCTCTCTCTCTCTCTCTCTCTCTCTCTCTCTCTCTCTCTCTCTCTCTCTCTCTCTCTCTCTTACACTCACAAACACAAGAACATGCACACGCAAACGTGACTGTCATAAACACTGCAGTAAGGACTTTACACTCAGACTCACTCATCTCAGACGGTCCCATGCTGTACTCCGGCGTGTGGACAATCACGACTTTGTTCTCCGGCTTGTGGAAGTTCTGGACGTACCCTGAGGGCAAACAGATTACAGTTCAGAGTTTTTATTTTACTCTACGTTGAACATTATTATCAAATGCACACATGCACACGCCCACATGCACTCGCGCACTCACACACACATACACACACACACACACACACACACACACAAACAAACACATACACAAATACACACACACACGCGCGCACACACACACACATACAAACACACACATACACACATACACACGTACGAACACACATACAGTTTCTATGAAAAAGCACAAAGAATGTTAAATTCAACTTTCTTTCTCTTTCCTTGGCAAACTCAAAAGCCTGGGAGACTTCATTTGCCATCACTATCGCAATCAAGACCAAAACCAAATAAATCAAAAAAGTACAGCATGACGTTGCAAACTTTGTGCAAAATGTGCGAAAATATTGTTTTAACGCCTGCTTGCAATTCTACAAGGACCTCCAAATCTGACGTCCATCTCCGATAGGGCTGAGCCAAATGGGAACATTCGTGTTTAGTGCTTTTTCCAAGGACACAACGTCGCACCGAGCTGAGCCTCGAGCCCATGACCGAACCTTCAATCTCATAATGATTTCGAGTCCTATAGCACAGCCTGACCACCAGACAACCGACGCCACTCAAAATGTGCTGGCTACAAGGTTATCATACTGCAAATACACTCGGACTTCCCGACCCCCTGTCCTCCGTAACAACAATAATAATAATAATAATTACTTTTGCTCTATGCAGCCTCGGTGTTGAGACATCCCTGCTATAACAATTATATTATTTATGTCACGACGCGGTGGGATCAGGCGCTCGTTAATTTTCGGGAATAACATTATTATTTTGGAATTGTTGGTATGATCTTTTAAAGTTAATCGTTTGATTTGCTTTTGATGTGAAAACTACCCATCCAATTTGAAAATGAAAAGAACTCAAGATATCTGCTGTTGAAGGAGGTGGGGGTCGCCCCGAGAAAATAGCCGCCAAAGTTTGATGCATTCCAAAGCTTGACTGTCCCCGAAACTGCAAATTTATTATTTAACATTTTCAACTAAAATCCACACAGTAGTGTGTTTCTGAATTGACACAAAATATTATATTGAGCCTCCCCCCCCCATAAACACAAAAGAATTAAAAACAAAAGAAACGAACATTTTGATTTTAAATAATAAAGACAAAATACATTTTTAAAGTTGTCCGACAGATGAAGAAATTTCGCTTTCTTCGGTTTCATTATTTAGACGGGCGCCTGATTTCACCCCGATGCTTCACATTTACGTCTAAATAAAATCTTCCAGGATAGGTCCGTAACACTATCAATAGTAATAATATTGTCACGGTTAGCGTTCGCTGTCAAAACCGCCAGCACTTTGACGCAGGAACTTAATTTCTTCACTGCTAGTAGACGTATGCTAGTGGTTAGGCTCTCGGACTCGCAATCGTAAGGTCGTGGGTTCGAATCACGTCATAGGCCCGACGTTGTGTCCTTGGGAAAGGCACTTAACACGATTTTTCCTCACTTCACCCAGGTGGGAATGGGTACCCGGCTATAGACAACGAAAGATCTTGTCAGTTTGTTAGTGTTTGAGCGCTTAATCAGCTGCTTGCACTGTATGCTTCACGGGAAGCTGAGAATGTTTTGGAGTGTTCTATGGTCTGCTGGGGTAATAATATAGCGTAAAGCGCATAGAGCTTGCTGATGAGCGGGGGTATGCGCTATACAAATGCTATCTAATATTATTATTATTACTATTATTATTATTATTATTATTATTATTATTATTAATATTGTTATTATTATTATTATTATTATTATTATTATTATTATTATTATTATTATTATTATTATTGTTATTATTATTATTATTATTATTATTATGTAGGCTTCTCGTTAAAATGATTTCCCAACAGGGTTCCCTGCCTTTTATTTCACTGCTTGCTTCATAAAGTAAGTTTTAGAAGATGTATAGTGCGTCAAAAATTTCGTGGCGCAACTTATCCTCAAATATCTCTTGAACGGGTGAATCAATGTCATTCATATTTTGCAAAGCATTTTTTGTATCAATTTCTCATAACTTATTCATATTTTCCCACATCAAAGAAGGCTAGATTTTTTTTTTAAATTTCACCTTAAATGTATATAAAATACTGCAAATTTCCTTCCCACAGAAAATGGAATTGTTCACAGCACTTTCCGCTCCTCACACACAATTTCCACACGCATATTATTATGGCCTACTTCACAGCTCACCAAGGACACTTCTAATCTTAGTGGCAAAACTAGTAACAAGAAATTGATTCTATAGTAAACACTTTTTTGCACCAAGCGTCCTCAAACCATGCGTTCAATAAACATTGCGAGAAAAAAATGACGGACTTCTTTTAAAAGCGATATTGTCCCAGCTGCAAACCTTTTCATATCAGTAGAAAACACCCCAGGGGATTTTTTAAATTAGTATTTATTAAGGACTTTTCTAGTATTGAGCTAACAGGAGTTTACAAAAATATGAATCTGTTAAGACAGATTGATTCAAGTCACTGAGCAAAAGCTTGAGGGTTTATGTTCGATAGTTGAGGAGATTTGACAATAAGTTGCGCCACGAATTTTTGACCGCACTATAATCAATGATTTTGCTATAATTGCAGATTGTGCTGTTGCTTATTCTTAAAAAGGGGAATGTTTTATCTATGATTTTTGTGTTTGTTTGTCTGTCTTTGCTTTTGTTTTGTTTTTGTTGTTTTCATACTTTTGTTTTTGTTTACATCTCTCTTGAACAAACACATATTAAGGTAAAAATGTTTAATGTAAGCACTGAGCTCGTTAATCTGTGACCTAGAAATCCAAACTCTACGGGCATCCGTATTATTGTTCTTCTCCCTCGCAGTCCTAGCACACAAACACACACACACACACACACAGACACACACACACACACACACACAC